TCAAAATCAAGTTGAGGTTTCTGTTCATAGTTTGCTAGTATTGGATTTTGTAAAATATTTTTCTATGTCCATGATCATGTGATTTGTTGTTGTTGTTGTTCTTTAAACTTCCCTGACTTGATGTGGTAGATTTTTGAATATTAATCCAGCCTTGCATACCTAGGATAAATTCCTCCTTTTCCTGCTGCCATACATGTTTTGAAATGTTCAACTGTTAGACAGGGCTTATGACTTTAGTCTTAGCAGTTCTATTTAAAACTCCTTAAAGGGGCTGGGGATTTAGCTCAGTGGTTCTGGCACCTGTCTCACAAGCGCAAGGTCCCGAGTTCGATCCCCAGTACCAAAAAAAACCCAAAAACTCCTTAAAGGATTCTGTTTTTATGCATTTCTTCTATCTACCTCAGATTCTTTATAAAACGAAGAGATCAACTTATTCACTATAAAGTTCTTTTCAATGCTCTGTGAATCTTATCTAGAATATTATCATTGACCTAGTATTTGCAAATATTATTATTGTTAAATATTTCAAATGCACAAACACTAAGAGACAGTTACTGAAGACTGAGATTTAATAAGTTACATTTTATCTTATTTTTGTTAGATTAATTGAAGCCCAATTCTCTCATTTCAGTCCCTTTTCTCTCCCAAGAACTAACCCTCTCTTGAAGTTGGTATAAATCCTTATTGCTCATATATTTAACAGTTTTAGCACATAATATACATGCCCTACAACCTCTAGGGTATTATTTTGGTTTATTTTATGTAAATATGGTGCACATTTCTTTTTGAAGAGTTACATGAAGAATAAGACTAATAATTCCTTTACATTATGCAAATTGCATACCATAAATATTACTTTATTTAATCTTTCCCCAAATCCTTTAAATTAGGAAGTATTACTTTTTGTTGTACAAATTAAAAAACTGATGCAAGTTGAGAAATTGTATTTCACCTAACTCTGAAGCCTGTGTACTTAATCATGTGCTAGGATGCCCTGCTTTCCTTTCCTTTGACAGTAGATTGAATACCCTCTTGCAAGCTCTCAGTTATGTGTTTGCCTTACTTTGGGGCAGTCTTCAAAGAAATAATAATAGTTCCCCATTTAATAACAGAAAATTTTGTAACATCTGCTTTTCAGAATGTTAATTTAGAAATGTGTGATGATGACAAAGAAACTTTGGAAGGATGCCTGAAAAATTAAAAATAGTGGTTTTCTGGGGTGGAAGGAGGGAACATTGAAATAGGCAAATGATAACAAGTTTATGAACGAAGTGTTAGTATATAAGCTATATTTCTGGGCCACACCATGGTTTGAGTTGGTTTTCTGGGAATCAAACTCAGGACCTCATGTATGGTAGGCAAACACTCTGCCACTGAGTTACACACTTATCCTTAAATCATACAAAGCATTACACAGTCAAAAAAAAGGTAAGAGAATAAAAATATGTAATTGCTGAATTTACGGATACTATAGAGTAGCATTTATATCTCACAGTGACATCCGTATTTGCAAAAGAATAATGCTGTACTGTATCTGTAGACATACAGATAATAGGATGAACATTAAAAAAAATTTTTTTTTTTTGGTACCAGGGATTAAACTTGGGACCTTGCACTTGCGCCAAGGCAGGTGGCGGAACCACTGAACCAAATCCCCAGCCCTGAATTTTTAAAATGTATTTGTAAGAGGCTGGGAATTTAGCTCAGTGGTGCCACCCCGCCTGCCTCACAAGCTCAAGGTCCCAAGTTCTATTCCCAGTACCAAAAAAATTTATTTATAAAAGACATATTGTAATTAGTCTCCTTCATAATGTTCCTCGTTGCTTCAAACACATTTATCCCACCATTCTTGACATTCAGTTGCAGTTCTGGAAGTCCTGTCTTTTGTTTATGAAGTATGATTAAAAATACATTGAGGACCAAGAATGTAGTTCAGCAGCAGAGCCCTTGCCTGGCAAGTGTGGGCCCCTGAGTTCAATTCTTGGTACAAAAAAAATACGATGAATGCTGCTATTAAGTGCCATCAAATAGAAAGGCAGCAGGCTTATAAGAACATGACAGTCTGTCTTCATCCACCTGTTCACCTGATCTGGCATTGTGTGGCTTCTGGCTCTTCTCCAAAGTCAAAATGACCATGAAAGGTAAACATCTTTAATTGATCAGGACTTTGAGGTACTTACAACAGCACAAGTAAGGGTACTCATGAAGATTTCCAAGACAGCTTTATCAGATTTGTGAACATAGAAATGTTCATAATATTCCTTTACTGTCCTTTTGATGGTGTTTATAGTGTTGTCCCCTCTTTCATTTCTGGTATTAGCACTGTATGGTATATATGCCTTCTCTCTTCTTAGCCTGACTAGAGGCTTACCAATTTTAAGAATCTTTTCAAAAGAACTAGCTTTTGGTTTTGTTGATTTTTCTCTATTGATTCCTGTTTTACAGTTTCATTGATCTCTTCTCTGTCTTTCTGCTTATCTTGGATTTAATTTACTCTTCTTTTTCAAGTTTCCTAATATGAAGAAGTCCCCTTTAAATATTCAGACACATGTAGATGGAATTGATATAGTAATCTATTAGTACATTGTTAATAATTATCTGCATCTAATTATACTTAACTGTTTTGGGGAAAAGTTGTATGTTTTGACAAATGCACAGTGATATTTCTATAACCTCAATCAAGATAAAGAATAACTCCTTATCTTGCAGATTCTCTTGTGGTATGGTACTGTTTTATAAACAACTCTTTTCTTTCAAGCCTACCAAACTCCTGGCAACTACTAATCTGTTTCCTGTGCCTATAATTTTGTGTTTCTAGAATATCATATAAATGAGTCATATAGTCATATAGCTTTTGGGGGTCTGCATTCTTTAATTTAGTATAATGTATTTGAGATTTATTGATATTGTTGCATATGTCAGTAGTTCATTCATTTATATTGTTGATTCAATTTTCTTCACTTGAAGGACATTTGGGTTATTTCAGATTTTGAGCAATTATGAATAAAGCCACTATAAACATTCACATGAGGATTTATGTAAATATAGATTTCCATTACACTGGTCAATTCCTAGGAGTGGAACTATGGGTCAAAGTGTTAATATGTATTTATCTTTACCAGAAACTACCAAACTTTGCCACAAGCCCTTTATCAATTTGCATTTTCATAAGCAGTTGGGCCGGGGATTTAGCTCAGTGGTTTCAACGACTGTTATGAAAGCGCAAGGACCCAAGTTCAATCCCCGGTACAAAAAAAAAAAGGAGTTATCTTCCCATCTGTGTCAACATAATTATCAAAACTTGATATCTTGTGTTTTGTGTGTAACTTTAGATCTTCTAGTGGATGTGTACTAGTATTTCATTATAGTTTTAATTTGCCTTTTGTTTTAAATGATGGAATTTCCCTATGTTGTCCAGGCTGGCCCACACTCCTGGGCTCAAGTAATCCTTCTGCCTCAGCCTACTGAGTAGCTAAGATTACAAGCAAGTGGCTTAATCTGAAGTTTAAAAATATAAAATACACATTTTTCATGTGAAAGCTTATTTGCCAAGTGCCTGCCAAGCTGGTGCACCCCCTTCCTCCCATGCTAGGGATCAAACTCAGGGCCTTGTATCACCTAGAGAAAGTTAGACAGATCGCTCTGATCCTCAGCATAGGCGTCTTGGAAAAGTTGGCCCATAGAAGGTCACACATTTAAAGGGCCTTGGGTATCTAGGAATTAAAGGAAGAAGAGAATACACTTTGGCTATCTGACCATGCTACAGAGGATTCATCTTTGTTTAAATAATAAATAGAATATCTCATCTCAGATATTTAATGGCATAATTAGCTGGTATATATTTGGCCATATTTAATTATATTTATGTGTAAAGACTACTACATGAATGATTCTTTGATACCATAGCATAAGCCAGTTTCTCCTAATACTAAGTAAGATATTGAATGCTTTGGATAAATTTAGGTGGTAGAACATAATGTATTCTCTTGGTAGATTGCTTTAATGTCAGGTTGCCCTTTTATAGATACCATAATATTGCTCTTGTTTTGTTGGGTTTTTTTTTTTCTTTTGTTTTGTTTTTTGGAACTGGAGATCGAACTCAGGACCTTGTGCTTTCAAGGCAGGCGGCGGAACCACTGAGCTAAATCCCCAGCCCCTGCTCTTGTTTTGCTTTAAACAAAATTCATACTAGAATTGTACTCATACACAAACATTCATAGCAGCTTTATTTCTTAATTTCTAAAACATGGAAACTATCTAAATGGCTTTCAAAGAGTGAAAAGTTAAACAGACTATCAGTAAACAAGCTGTGGTACTTCTGTACTATAAACTACTATATTAAAAAGAACGAACTGTTGATACATGTAACAACCTGGATGAACTTCAGGAAGCTCTGCTGACTGAAAAATTCCAATCTCAAAAAAATATATGCTACATGATTCCATTTGTGTAACAATTGTAAAGTAACATAATTATAAAATTGAGATTAGTGGTTTCGTAGGTTAGAAATGAGGGAAGTGAGGGTATGGCTGTAAAGGGTTAATGTGAGGGAGTCTTCTGGTGGTCATGTAATTGACTGTCTTGATTGTGATGGTATGTGACAAAATTGCATTTTATTTTATTTTATCTCATTCCCCCCTCAAGTATACTTTTTGAAATGTGTAAATAACTCATGAATATATTTTCATAAAAATTCAAACAGTATTGAGTACTTGGTAAAAAAAAAAAAGGGGGGTCGTGTAAAGAAAGGACAGGCACAAGTTAGTATTTCCATAGTAGGAATTTTTTTTCTTTCTCTTCTCCCTCATGGAAGCAAATAAGTAGTATTTTTCTTTATAAGTGTGATGATGATATTGTGTTTGTCATGACAGTTAACTGATGGAGAAATAATGAAACCATGCCATATAGTTACACCCAGCTTTGTTGGTAGTTTCATATCATGTGGTGGGAAATATGAGACAGCTGAGTATTTCAACCATGCCACATCTGTTCCTGGGAATAAAATTCAACATACAATGAGTGAGTACTTATCCAGGATGTATATATACAAAGAAAATAACTTTTATTCTCAATGCTGTGGCTATGTATTGTAGGCAGAAATATTAAAATACTGTATCAAAATAATAAAATACTCATGCAATTTTTACAGCTTCATTTATACTAGAATAGTAGAAGGACTGGATTTGTACTGCTTAGATTTTGCAGTATGAATTAGAACATGGAATTGAATAAAATACATATACATATGAAAACTATTGGGTTGGTGCAATTTAAAAATGAATGAAATAAACCCCATCTTTTGGAATGAGTGAAGTAAGCCTGTAGCTTGGTAGGGGAGACAGGCATGTGAACAGATAAAATACTATACACAATACAGTGCAATGCTAGAACAGTTATGAGTTAGGACCCTTGGGAATGCATAGCACACTTTATCTTCAGACTTCACTGAAGAGTTCATATCAGAGCTGGGTCTTAAAGATGAGTCCAAGTTTTTCAGGAAAAATGGCATTCTTGATATTGGGAATGTTATGTAAAACTCATTATGTGTAAAGGTCCTAAAAGGCTTCAGCATGAGTGTGGTGGGAAATGAGAATGAAAGAGTGGAACGAATGGCAAGAGAGATATATTAGGTCCAGGGGCTCATTTACCCGTTAGTAACAATAGTGTAGAAAACAGGGCCCACAGTATTTCTAGAGATCCATGAAAATGTTTTAACATTTTTCAAATTAGAAGGGCAAGATGAACTTTTAGGTTGAAAAAATGTTTACATCTAGTACTACTATCTTTATACCAACACAGTCATAAACACAATTTTTAGTAGTTTTTATTGAGGAGGGGAACCATGAAAACAAAAATTTGTAGCACCTACAAAAGTAATTTTCTGGCTCTGTTGGGTCCCAACTATAAGGGGTCTTATATGCCAATGGAGGAGTTTGAATTTTTACATGTGTTAGAGATCTAAAAGGTTTTAAGTATGAGTAACTGTCTTTTATGAAGATGACTTTGTCAGCAGTTTGAATGAGAGTCTTTCCTCTTTGTTGTAGTTATGCTAACCAGAATTGTTTTAATGTTCCTAATAACCAAATTTTGCCTGTTAAAACATTAGAAGAGCAAAACTGCTTTCAAGATTGCTGTGTAAGCACTATATTTGGTAAATCTCTTAAAAGAAGTAATTGACCAAAATAAAAGAAGTAATTGACAATGCATGAGTGATAGAAATTTTTCTAGCTGTTGACAAATCAGAATATGTGTAAATAAGCAAGTCTCTGTATATATTCTATGTCAATATAATGCTAGACCATACTTTTCTAATTGTAATCTCTATTTTATCCATAATTTTATTACATTATGAAGAATTCCAAACTATACAGATATATTGCTGACACTGATTCTAACAAATAGCATTTAAAAAGCTAAAAACATTGGTTTATAAAACGGATGTTTATTTTTTGAGTAGGCTGGTTAAGGTTTTGCAAGAAAATCTTTATAATGTATAAGAATTTGCTGAATTATAATGTGAAAGAAAAAATTTATTCGTAAAATAGTAAATTATAATTGATCTATGCTAATTCCTCCATCATAAAATAATGTCTTAGAAGTAGGCTGAAATTATTTTAAGAAAAAAATTTAGTGAAAACATGTTAAAGATATGATTCAACCCTCTCCA